ATTATTTGCTACATTAACAAAAATTTATAATATGTGTTAACTTAAATAAGCAAATAATTGTATAATTTTAAAATATTATATATATATATATATATATTAAAATTTTAAAATTATTAAATTTTTAATAGGAGAGGTTAAAATCGCACAATTATGATATTTGAGGGACTAAAATTGTTCAATTAAAAATTAAAGGACTAAAATTGCACAACTTCAATCTTTTAGGGACTAAAATTACCCAATTAAAATCTTAGGGATCAAAATTGCACAATTGCAATACTTGAGGGATCAAAACTGTAATTAAGCCTAAAAAAAATATTAAATTCCTAAATTATCTTTAATATTATTTGGAAAAAAATTTTATTTTGAAAAATATTTTTCGGAGGAGGTGTGTTGTACATAATTATATAAAGTACTTTCCGGAATACTAAAATTATTATTCTGGAAAGAACTTTCCGGCGAAATAATTCCGAAAAGTACTTTCCATAATACTAAAATTACTATTCCGGAAATAACTTTCCGTCGAAATAATTTTGGAAAGTACTTTCCATAACACTAAAATTACTATTTCGGAAAGTTCTTTATGAAATTATTATAACAAATACACATACTGTTAATATTCCAGAAAAAATTTTTCAAAATTATGTAAGAAACTCACTTTAAAAAAGTTATTTCCGAATAAAACTAACATTAAATACAAGTTCAAAATTAACATTGAATTTTTATTTTTAATATTTTAATAATATTAAATATAAACTTAAATTTATTTGTAATTAATTTTTTTAATTTCTTAAAAAATTTATAAATATCCATGGATATCCGTGGGTATTCAAGAAATTCATAAATATCTGCTTAATAGATATCCGCGCGGATATGAGGTGGGTATAGTGCCAATTTTTATCCAGCAAGGCTGGAATGGATTTATTATTACCTGCCTGCATGGGATCCCATTACCATCCATAACGGGGATGGGTACCCAGATTTTATCCCTAGTAGGTATTGAGGCGGAGAACATAAAACCTGCCCTCGTTCCATCCCATTGTCATGCCTAGTTTTATTTCATAAAATTGTCTTTTCAAGTATGTTATTCAATGCTAAAGAAGATTCAAATATCAAGATCATCTCGTTTGCTTAGTGGTAATTGATTTCAAGATAATTTGTATTATTTAATTTGAAATGCATTTTATTATAATAAATAAAGCTAATTATGAAAATAATAATTTATTTTTAAGTCAAAAATCAATCTAGCTATGGATATTAATTTTTTATAGTATATTTATATTTATACTCTCTAAGATAATTTTATAAAACTATTTGAATAATTTTTAATTTATTTAAAGTTTTTCTTCTTGTTTGTGTTTCTTTTACAATTTTTTTTTTGCATATATTGCTTAGTAGTAGTCTTTTAAAAATTAGCTCGAACCAGTCGATCAAACTAGTTGAACCAGGAATCGGTGGTTTAACTGGTATGAGCCTTAAATTAGATAGGTTGTGCATTCGACTCGATACAAATCAAAGTGGGCGAATAATGGGAACGGATAATTTTTTATCCGTTTATAAACGGGCCGGGGGCGGGTATGATGATATCCATACCCGCGAGTACCCATTTAATAATACTTCTTAAATATCCTAATTATCTTTATACCACATAACCTTAAAACTACACTCTCTAATCTTTGTGATATGAGACTTTCACTTGCTTGTGAAATTGATGTATTTTAAGTGATTGATTATCTTGCATTTTTATTATTATTTCAATAAAACTAACATTAAATACAAGTTCAAAATTAACATTGAATTTTTATTTTTAATATTTTAATAATATTAAATATAAACTTAAATTTATTTGTAATTAATTTTTTTAATTTCTTAAAAAATTTATAAATATCCATGGATATCCGTGGGTATTCAAGAAATTCATAAATATCTGCTTAATAGATATCCGCGCGGATATGAGGTGGGTATAGTGCCAATTTTTATCCAGCAAGGCTGGAATGGATTTATTATTACCTGCCTGCATGGGATCCCATTACCATCCATAACGGGGATGGGTACCCAGATTTTATCCCTAGTAGGTATTGAGGCGGAGAACATAAAACCTGCCCTCGTTCCATCCCATTGTCATGCCTAGTTTTATTTCATAAAATTGTCTTTTCAAGTATGTTATTCAATGCTAAAGAAGATTCAAATATCAAGATCATCTCGTTTGCTTAGTGGTAATTGATTTCAAGATAATTTGTATTATTTAATTTGAAATGCATTTTATTATAATAAATAAAGCTAATTATGAAAATAATAATTTATTTTTAAGTCAAAAATCAATCTAGCTATGGATATTAATTTTTTATAGTATATTTATATTTATACTCTCTAAGATAATTTTATAAAACTATTTGAATAATTTTTAATTTATTTAAAGTTTTTCTTCTTGTTTGTGTTTCTTTTACAATTTTTTTTTTGCATATATTGCTTAGTAGTAGTCTTTTAAAAATTAGCTCGAACCAGTCGATCAAACTAGTTGAACCAGGAATCGGTGGTTTAACTGGTATGAGCCTTAAATTAGATAGGTTGTGCATTCGACTCGATACAAATCAAAGTGAATCGGTTAATTTTTCGATTCAACTACAGAAATATTTTCATCACTCTTAAAAAGAAATTTAAAGAAAAGCATAACATGGAAATCAAACTTTGTTGATAGAAGAGTGAACAACCTTATCAAATGTTACAATGTCTACTTGTGAAAGATAAGGGGGTGCATATAAAAGAGAGAAAAAAAAGTGTGTGAAAAAGAAGAAGAAAGTAGCAAATTGAAAGTTGGAGGTGTAAAATTTAAAAATTTAGAAAGAAAAAAACTACAATATTTTATAATTTTTTAAAAAAATAAAGGAGGTGTACTTATTAAAAAAAAAAAAAAGAGGTGTATATATCATGAGTCTTTTGGAATTAGAAAATTTTTATTCCGGAAATAACTTTTTTAAAGTGAGTTTCTTACATAATTTTGGAAACTTTTTTATGGAATATTAACGGTGTGTGTATTTGTTATAATAATTCCGGAAAGAACTTTTCGCAATAGTAATTTTAGTATTATGGAAAGTACTTTCCAGAATTATTCCGACGAAAAGTTATTTCCGGAATAACAATTTTAGTATTATGGAAAGTACTTTTCGAAATTATTCCGCCGGAAAGTTCTTTCCAGAATAGTAATTTTAGTATTCCGAAAAGTACTTTTCATAATTATGTACAACACACCTCCTCCGAAAAATATTTTTCAAAATATTTTTTTTTTCCAAATAATATTAAGAAAAATTTAGGAATTTAATATTTTTTTTAAAAAAGGAGGTGTATATATAAAAAAATGGAGATGTATATATCATCAGCCAAATCATTTTCTTTTGCTGTTAAAGGTATTTGCACGACCCATTTGATCTTTCTCCCTTTTATTAATGATATATTATCAGTGTAAAATTTTTTCACATTAATAATTAATTATATTTTTTAATAATATCATATCAGTTATTTTTTTAATAAAATAAAAATAATTTAAAAAATATAATTAATTATTAGTGTAAAATTTACACTAACATTATATGAATAATTAAGTCTTTATTAATTACCCTCGTTTGTCTCTTTTCATTCTTCACCCCGAGTACAAAGGCACAAAAATCGAAAATAAAATGACTATGACTTCTCTTCGTAACAAAATCCATAAAATCTTTGATTTTGAAATAATATTGTATTATATACACATACAATTTCCTTCACATATATGTAAAAGATTAATTAAGCATGGGATTATTTTATAAAAAAAGTTACCAAAGTATTTATATTACTCAATTATTTATAACTAATTAACTACTGGAGAGGTGATAAATGATTCTTAATTAACTACTTTTAAAAATATTTTTTTATATAATATACTTATTATATATAACCAATGAATGCAAATAAAATTGACAAGAAATGTCTGATTATATATATATATATATAACTTTATAAAAAAAATATGAAATATCATAATTTATTTTATATAACTAAATTAATAACGTGTTATAATTTTTTAATAACGTTAATTAAAAATACTAATAATGTTTCATAGAAAATCCGAAATTTATTTTATAAAAAAATATTTTGTTAATAATTAGTTTAAAAATTAAAATAGAAACAAATAAGATGTTATTATACTTTATATTATATTGGTTAATAGAATTAGTAATTTTTGAAACTAAATAAAAGTCACTTCAATAATATCTAAAACGTGTCTATATTCCATTTTTTAAAGCAGTAAATTTCTTATTTAATAATATACTAAAAATAAAAATATTAATTATTACTAATACGGAAACGCTATTGCAAACGTGGTTTAATTGGGTAACATATTTTCCCGTAGAACAAGAGGCTAAGTGGCACGTGTGAGTGATCAATAACGTGTCAGAAGGCAATGAAATGAGTAAGCAAAACACGACCACCCCAATCGGAACAGATGATAATATTTGTCTTTTTTTTTTCTTCCCTTGAATCGAGAATTCTCCTTTGATAACTCACTCACATCCATGTCTTTCTTGTTCCTTCCCTCCTATCATCATGGACTAGGACTTCTCTTCTCTCCAACGCCTTCACACTGGTATTCCTTCTATACCGTTTTTCACTTATTGTTTCTCAATTGTATGTGTGTGTTTTGTTTCCCCTATTTTCCATTTAGCTATGATTTTTGTGTTTATCTTTCCTTATGATGTGCAAATGAAATCATATAGGTTTGTCTTTTACCTGGTGGGTTGGGAAAATAGAGAAAGAAGGCTTTTGGGTTGCGTTGCAAATTTGCATTTGCATTGGACTTTTTGGTGGACTGAATAAAAGCCCATTTTCCCTTTTGCTAGGATTGACTTTGGTTATCTCAGGACGCAGAGTTTAGTTTATATTTTAATTTTCTTGTCAGTATGCTTCCACTTGAAAGCTGTTTTGCTCCCAAAGTCTCTGTATTTATCAGAAACGGTTTTGGAAATTATTACTGTTTTCAATGTTTTATCTTTGCCATTGATTATGTCCCAAGTGGGAATCATTTGCAAGTAACCGTTTCGTTTGAAGTTGTGCATTTCACGGTTGATTCAATGGACAGCGAAGATATAGTCTGTCTTTAATTGTGATCAAAATATTTTTCCTTAATTTAATGTCAGTAATGATTTTGTGTTTATGGGAAGTTGGCCTTAATTAGACTAATAAGAAAAAGCTACCCTGGGGGTTCTACTAATACCATATATGTTGCTCTTACCATACAAATTCCTTCACTCAGTGTGAGATGATTTTGTATACAAGTAGTACTTCCTAGGGGCTTTCAAAGCCATAGAAAAAAAAGGTTCTTTGGTGGAGAAGGTTGATTGAATTGGAGAGTGATGATGAAGGAGAGCGATCCGCCAAATGAACAGCCTGAATCTGTTGCCTTTAGGAAGAACCTGGAGAAGCTCAAGTTGGACTTGGGCAGCATTAATCAAGGGATTCGGACTTATATAATGGGACAGAGAATTGATGTACCTAGGGGGCCTCCAAGATATCTTATTGGGGATGAAGATGATGACAAAACAGAAGTGGGTGATCCTGTGTTTGATGGAGGTGAAATTGAAAAAAAATATTAAATTTAGATTGTGTTTGTGATTTTTTTTGGGGCATACCGGAATTAATAGAAAAAAATGTTGGTGCCTCAGACTTAAAGCCTGTAAAGGTTCCGATCTTTCGATTTTCTTGGGCATGAATGCCTTCACATTTGGTATTTTGCTGGATAGATTTGATCTTACTGTTTTACCTTTTTCCTAAGTTATGGTTGTGCCCTGGAAGTTCCTAGTATGTTTAAATGGAGAAGGGAAGAAAAGGGGGAAGGGTGGTAAATAATTTAACCTTCTTCTTGTTAGAGGATTTTTTTAGAATGAGGGGGATGGTCATGTAACCCACCAAACCCTCCCATTTTTTTTTGCTTGTGTCTCTTACAAACATAAAGTTACCCAAATTTAGAGAAACTTGGATGATTTTAAACATCCAAATAAGGGAAAGGAAATTTATTTCTTAACTTGCTATTCTCTTCCCTCAATCTTCCTCTCCTAACACCCAAACATACCATAAAGAGCATAAGGGAACCTTAGCACCATGCCTTTTCCTTTTTGTTAGTGTTTTATAAGCTTGTGAATTTGTAGCAGTGCATGACATATATTTCATTTATTTTTCCTATTGCTCTTTTCTTTTGAGATGTGCCATTTTATGTTTTCAAAATGGAATTCTCGAGCTAGAAACAACTTATTGATGTGGATTCCTTTTAAACCATACAGGAAAGTATTCAGTGTACAATGACACAGATGAGGATGATGATTCTCAATCTCTTATTCAATGTACCTTCTGTGATTTTATGATTGATTTTTCTGCGGTCTGTAACTGTTTGGAAGGCTATGACCCGGATAATATGGTATGATGGTTCTGAATTTTAAACTTCTATGATTAGCATAAGTTATTGGTACTACTGTCCAATGTACATAATGATATGTTTCACGCTTTTGTTAGATTTTTGTTTTCATTTCCTAATTTCTTTGATTAATTGTTACTGTCCATTGACTTTATTATGATTTATAAACAATAGTTCTTCGCTTAAGTGCAGTTGTATATGGCATGGAACAAAACTTTTATGTATCTGCTTGTTATGGTGCACTGTTCTGTTCTTGAAAAAAAAAAGGATAAAGATAAATTAACTAGCAAGCATTTTAGCTAAAAGCTAAGAAAGAATGAAACAGTGTTTCTGAACATTTCATTCAGCTAATTAAGTTATAGTTGAATTTTGAAATCTGATTGACTGCTTCAATGTTCCTATATCAGCTTTGTCCGGTGTGTGACGAAAAATTAGGGGATGAAGCAATCAGGGTTATCTGGAATTCAATCTCACAAAAGGTATATACTGCCTATCTTGGAATCTTTGTGTTCTAAATGTAACCTTGCTCACTTTTGGTTTTAGGAGAATTTGATTCTTGCCCAACTCAATTCAATATGTTAATAAACTGATCTATACTTTTCTATAGAGAACTTGGAAGTCTGACACATCTAGCGTCTCCTCGGTTGATTCATTAGATCTTGATGAGAAACTTCCTGTCAGGGGAACCAAACATGAACCAGTGCCTGATCCACTTTTGTCACTTGGCAATGTGTCTGTTCCAAAATCTGGTGGTATCCATACTAGTGAAGGTTCCTCCTGCAAGGCCTCAGACATTACCAAAGCAGAAGGGTATGATCCTTCTTTCCATCTGTATTTTGTATTGGCGGTATGTTTGTATAAAATGAAAAAGTGCAATGATGAGAAATTGATAGTTCAAAGTGCAAAGCATTAAAAGAATGTAGGCAAAAATCAATTGTTTTTTCCTTTGAAGTCATTGCTAATCTCCTGTTCTAGGAAATGTTATAAATGTAGAAAATAGAAATATAAATAAATTCACTAGTATCAGCTAAACGCATAAGTTCTGAAGTCTATCTGAATTTAATACTATTGTAACTCATTCATTGTTCTATGCATAAAAAATAGTAATAGTAATGCTTCGTATGATGTGGGGAATTGTATGGCTTATGCTGATACATTATATAGTTTCCAAAGTATGACATTTTATAGTACATTTTTAAATTATTTGTGTGCTGTGGATTTACAAGATATATCAATCAGTTGAAGTTTATTCATTAGTTGGTTGACAATAATCTACATTCTATTCATGACATGACATTACATATATAAAACAAATTTCTATAAATGATCATGTAGAGTATGCTCATGAAGCCAGTAAAATGACTTGGACATTCTCATGTTAGTTCCATCACCACTGTTAAAATTAAATGTCCTTTCTGATCTTTTTTCTGGTTTAACTAGATGTTGAATACTGCTTACACTTACCTTATCTTCCTTTGAAACAAGTTTAGCTAGTCCTAATTAGTAATTGTACCAGGAGGTTGATTTCACTTTTCAGAAAAGATAATGATCTTCTGTATCGCACGTTTTGGTTATAGTTTTCAAGTATCTCAGTCTATATGGAAATGATTTGAATGTTTTCGAGTGTAATGCACAAGTCTTAAAAAAATGTACAGAGTTGTATGAATTCATGCCAATATGCACATGTACTGACTCCCACTTAAGTAGCTTGCATTTGTTGAGATACAATTCATATTGTTTCTCTGAAGCTCTTGCTCCAACCTTAGCTTTGCATGAACCTATTATGTTGGTGATTATATTAAATTGGCACAATTTATAGGACTGCATAGTGAGGTTTGTGCAGTAATTTTAGAAGTTCTTCCTGTCTTTCTGAACCTTGAATTTGTTGAGTTGTATGGTAATACTCTTTTAGCCCGAATACCTAAATGTCAATGAAATGTGACACCCTCATTAATATCTCCTGCATTTGTTTACAAGTATGCTCTCCTGAAAAGCGAATCTATCTTACTAATCTTGTTGAATTTTGTTAGTTAAGATTTGTGACAAGTAGCAATATCTGAAATAATAACTGTCATTTTCCCTTTAATACGTTCCAAAAATTTGTTAATTAAAAATATTTAATTTGTTCCATTGATTTGTGAGGAGATTTTGCATATTATAAAGGTTTTGTGTAGATCATGCATTTGATGTTGCATACACTTAGTATAAATGGTTGTATACTGTCTTCAAATAGAAATAAAATATATGCAAAATTCTCTACTTAAATAAACTCAGTGCTGGTGGTTTTGTTTGCAGCGCTGTGACAGATTCATCCCCGGATTCTGGTGATGAGAAGGATGCTGAAGAGAGAAGGTTGACAGCAACTTTTGTTCAAGAGTTGGTATTATCAACTTTAATCTAGGAAATTTGCGTCTTAGAATTTATAGACAGTCGGCATTCAGATAGCCTTGATGCTGGTAGAAAATTAACCGAGTTTTATTGCGGTGCATGAGTTTAGACTTTAGAATAGCTGTTCTAAACATTGGATAGTGATAAAATTGGATGGTTGCCTCGTTTTGCAGGCATGCATTATTGAGTATTTGAAATTATTTATGATATATTTTACATCAAATATTTGTGTTTTTGGAGACAGTGCAGATGGAATAGAAGAAGAAGTAAGAAAGGCATTGAATTTGCAACAGAAAAATAATATAATTATCCATCCAAGGATCCTAGAAAGTAGAAAGTAGAAAGTATAAGAAAAGGCAAAGAAAGGAGAGAAGAGAAAAAATAATAAATTAAGAAAAAAGAAGGAAGCGGTTGAATATGAATATCACTCAATAATAGACTGAATAACACCAGCACCCACAGTCTTGCCTCCTTCTCTAATAGCAAACCTCATCCCCTGTTCACAGGCGACAGGGACGATAAGCTGGACCACCATCTTGACCCGGTCACCAGGCATGACCATCTTGGACTCCTCATCCTTATCATTCATGATAGAGGTAACCTTACCGGTCACATCGGTAGTCCTCATATAAAACTGAGGCCTATACCCAGCGAAGAAGGGGGAGTGCCTGCCACCCTCCTCCTTCTTCAAAACATAAACAATGGCAACGAACTTGGTGTGGGGAGTAATCGTCCCAGGCTTCGCCAACACCATCCCTCGCTGAATATCCACCTTCTGAACCCCCCGAAGCAGAAGCCCCACGTTATCGCCAGCCATCGCTTCGTCCAGAATCTTCTGGAACATTTCCACTCCCGTCACGGTCGTGTTCCGCGTCTCGCGCAGCCCTACCAGGTCCACCGTCTCGCCCACTTTAACCGTGCCGCGCTCCACGCGGCCCGTGGCGACGGTGCCACGCCCGGTGATGGAGAAAACGTCCTCCACGGCCAGGAGGAAGGGGAGATCGGTTTGGCGCTGAGGGATAGGGATGTAATTGTCCACTTCGTCCATGAGTTGGTAGATTTTGTCAACCCACTCGTTATCGCCGCGTTTGATGCTAGGGTTTGCCATGAGGGCTTCGAGGGCTAAGAGCGCGGACCCCGAGACGATTGGGATGTCGTCGCCGGGGAATTCGTAGGAGGAGAGAAGCTCGCGGACTTCCAGTTCGACTAATTGGAGAAGCTCCTCGTCGTCCACTTGGTCTTGTTTGTTGAGGAACACCACCATGTTCGGGACTCCGACTTGCTTCGCCAAGAGGATGTGTTCCTTCGTCTGCGGCATGGGCCCGTCGGCGCCGGAGACCACCAGGATGGCGCCGTCCATCTGGGCGGCGCCGGTGATCATGTTCTTCACGTAGTCCGCGTGCCCCGGGCAGTCCACGTGGGCGTAGTGCCGGTTCTCGGTCTCGTACTCCACGGTCGCCGTGTTGATGGTGATGCCGCGCGCCCGCTCCTCCGGGGCGGCGTCGATCTCGTCGTACTTTTTGGGGGCGCTGTTGCCGAGGGCGGCCAGGGCCATCGTGAGGGCGGCCGTCAGCGTCGTCTTCCCGTGGTCCACGTGGCCGATGGTGCCGATGTTCACGTGGGGCTTCTTGCGCTCGAACTTGCCGCGGGCGGCGCGGACGGTGAGGGGGCGGCGGTGGGTGGGGGTGGAGGCAGGGGTGCGGCGGAGGACGGTGGAGGGGTGGAGGAAGGAGGAGGAGAGAGGGGCTAGTTTGTGGGTGGTGGTGGGGCGGAAAGGGGTGAGGGAAGAGGAGGAGGATGAGGATGATGCATGGGGGAAGAGGATGAGTTTGGAAGAGGCTGTGGCTGTGGCTGAAGAAACTGCCATGGTTGGTTGGAGGATTGGGATGGAGAAGAAGAGGATAGTGTTACTCTGAGTAGTGTAAATTATGTAAGGTTGTTGTGTTATCGGGTGGTGGTTTGTGGTTGGATAAAAGAGGGCCTCACATATGTTGTGTTCTATCCTCTTTCTGCCTCAACTTTGGAGGGACGCATAGGATCACATATTCACATCTCTCTGTCTCTCTCCTCTGCTGACCCAAGTCAAAACCATAGGGATTTATATAAAATAATTTACAAGGTTTCAAAGGGTTATATTTACATAATTCTTGTCTAGTCCCGAGACAAATTTATTGAATTTATAATAATTATTTTAAAAAATATACTACTTTTGTTCATCCAAATACCTAATTCATCAATATTATAAAAAAATGATTAATTTAGTTGATAATAATAAATTTATCTTGTTTTTTGTTTTTTTTTTCTTCAAAATGAACCTTATATTATTTTTCTCTCTTGATTAATACTCACCCATCTCTTAATTAAATAGAGTGTATATTTTATACTACTTGTCTCTCATAATCAATATTATTTATTCTCCTAATCTATTAAAATGCATATATTAATTTATTCCATCAAATAAAGAGAAAATGTTTTAATTAAAAATATTTTAGTCTAAAAATAATTAATACATTAAATATTATGAATGGAATGAAGGTAGTATAAAGTTTCTAAGTGATTAATATTTACACTTGTAATGCATAAAAAAAATAAATCAAACTCTTACATTAAATCCTTTTAATTTATTGTTATGGTAATGGATTTTTTTTTGTGTGAAAACAATCAACACTATAGTATAAAATTAATATTGTATTTTAATTGCATATAAATTGATATAATTAATTTTTATATATCTTTTATTGTGATTTAAGGAAGTATTTTAAAACATTCCTTTAATTATCACATATATGTGTATTTTTTAGGTAAAAAAATTGTCAAATATTGTTCATCAAATACATAAAAAGAAAGGGAAAAAGAGTATGTCATGCTCAAAATTGATTTTGAAAAAGCTTACGATAAGTGGATTGGAACTTTCTAAGAACCACTCTCATAGATTTTGGATTCCCTCAAAAGATTATTGCCTTCATCATAAATTGCACAACTTCCACTATGTCTTTAAAATGGAATGGGAAGAAGATGGATAGTTTTAAGCTTAATAGGAGTCTTAGACAAGGAGATCTGATGTTACCTTACTTGTTTGTGCATAACTTGTGGATACTTGAGGGTGTTTGTGGCAAGCTTGATGCTACTATCTGTAAATTCTTTTGGGGAATGACCATTGTCATTGCATGGATTTGAATACTATAACTCTACCCAAAGCCAGTGGAGGGTTAGGCATTTGTCTAGCTAGAGACGTCAACATTTCTCTTTTTGGAAAACATGTTTGGCACATGTTTAAGAGAAACATAAGTGGTGGGTACAAATTCTGGAAGTAAATACTTGAGGGAGGATGTTATCTTTCATGTGCCAGTTATTGAAGGGGCTTCATGTACTTGAAATTCAATTGTTAAAGTTGATTATCTCAAGATGGTTTTCCAAGTTCAAATTGGTATGGGGCAATATCTATTTGGTATGATAAATGGTTACAAGATGACTATCTTAGTCACTTAGTTCCTTCTGCAAATATTCAAGACACTACCTTCCTCCTGTGTGACATTTTTCATGATGGTACTTGGTGTTTCAACATGTTGGTTACCATTGTCCCTGAGGAGGTGAATGCATAGCTTCAAAATCATGTTATTATTTATGATGTGATCATTTGGGGACTTGTTACTATTGGTGTTTATTCTTCAAAATTCGCTTTCCATTGGCTTATTATTGAGAGTCCATTGTCTTTACTCCAATGAGGGAACTAGTCTTGGATCTAGAGATTAAAATTACTAAAGAATATTATACATTTGTATGGCTTACCCATCACGGTAGTCTTCCTACTAATGTATTTTGTGTTTTTAGGCATATGCCTACTAATGCTTTTTGTAGCAAGTGTAGAGGTAAATAGGAGATCATTTGTCATCTTCTTTGTGACTATGCTCATTCAATCTTGTTTGGCAACACTTGAAGTTGGACAAATATTCAAAGTTTTATACAACAAATGTTTAGAATTGGTAGATCAACAATTTCAAAGGACCAAATGTTTTTTTTTTTTTTTTTGCGACAACCATCAAGATTCTATGGAAAGTTAGGAATGTATCTATATTCCGAGATCAATCTTGGGACCTTTAGTGTATCTTTAGTCAAATTCAAGTTTTTTTTTTTTATTTTTTTTTTATGGATATTGTGAATGTGTTTAACTATCAAAGTCATTAACAACAAAGTTGTCAAGTCAAATGGGAATCACTTGCATCTCCTGTAATTAAAATCAATATTGATGGTAGGTCATTTAATATCTTAGAAAGAGCAAGTTTTGGAGATTTTTTTTAATACCATATGGGGAACTGCATTATTGGTTTTTTTATTCATGTGGAAATTTAACTAGTATCAAGATTGAATAGTTTTATCTCTTCCATGCTTATACAAAAGCTTAGAAAGAAGGTTATCGTATTATTTTCTATGATACAAATTTTACCATGATCTAGGAGTTAGTTCATATCAATAGCGATTCCTTTTATCCTTACTTTTCTTTGGTCATTGCAATTAGGAAGTTGTTGTAATTACGTTGGAGCATTACCTAGTAACACACTTTGTGAAGCTAATTCATATGTTGACCCACGTGCAAAATATGGTGTTAGTAATGATATTTCTTTTAATATTGGAACCATTGTCCATCTTACTAACTTCTTGTTGTTATATGATGTTACGGGGATGTTACTTTTTCTTGCTTGCCTGTTGTACTTGCTCATCAAAAAATGTTGATACATCTTTTGATAAAAATTTAAATTATAATGTATTTTTTAAAATAAATGATTTTTTATATATAATTATTTGTTTTAAATATTGAAAAATATTTATTTTGACTTTATTTGAAAAACGAAATTTGCTTTGAAATATTTTATATACTCTAAATTACTTGAAATATTATTGAACACATACAATGAGGTTGTTTCAAATTAAATATAATAAAGATCGGTTAAAGTATTAATTATTAATTAATTAAATAATGATAAACAATTCATAACAGAAATTATAATATCAATTTTGCTCATTGTAGAAGTTATGGCAAAAAATTTGTTTGAATTAACTTTTCTATACACTTCTTAAATTTTTTTTATAAATCAAAATGAATTTATAAATGAGGACATAAGTAGGGATGGGTTGAGTACGAGTTTCATGATACCTGTTTCCGTTCCCATGACTCAAACTCATCTCCATCCCTGTACGTATACCTGTCAGATATATAACTTTCGTTCCCATCTCCATCTCTGTTAAAAATTATTTATTTTTTTGCCAAAAAAAAATATACAATATTTTTAAATTATTTTTTCATTATATATAATTATAATTAGGTTGTTTTTCTATCTCATTTTAATTAAAAGACTTCTTAATAATTAAACAATTATAAATGTTTCACATTATAATAAATAATTACATATAATAAAATATTAAATTTTTTTAATATAATTAAATTGAGAATGAGTATTAAATCGGGATGGGGATGAAATAGGGATGGGTAATACCAATTTGATATATCAGATTTTAATACCAATTTGATATATCTGTCAAAATCAAGATAGTTTTAAATATTATCTTAAATTACGGGTTTATTTGTATCTCTAGGCATAAGGAAAGAAGAGGAAAAAACATCACTGTCAACAACTTCAACATATGAAAACCAATTTTCACACGTACATATAGAAGCCTAACCACATACTTTTGCTCATTTTGGTCCGATAATTTGAGGCGAATCCTTATTTAAGCATTGGAGAGGCACAACTTCCACGTGGCCCTCTTCCAGCGTTGTTCCATAGTCCCTGATTGCGACGGGTATTTGATTCATGTCTCCATGTTAAGTCGACTTGCTGGCAGTTAGATCCACCACAAGAAATAGCATTTTCTTACGTCTACCATTTTCTATTATATCAAATATAGTAGAAAATGAAAATTTATGTGTGATCTTCATCGTTTTTGTAATTTATTAAATGGATCAAAAAATAAATAAAAGGAAAAATGAAGGATAAAAGGATACTTTTTAGACAGGATATATTGTTTATATCAATAGACTAAAATGGGATTTTTTTTTTTTTTACATATTACAGAAACTTAAATACTTAATTTTACATTTGAGAAACTAAAATCAAATTTATCTGTTAAAATGTTACAAATACTGGCCCGAACCAAAGTCAGTAATACCAAAAGTCCAAAATTATAAGAATAATTTGGAAGCGTACTGAAAAATTATCGAGGAGAACCAATTTCATGCACCAGTAGTCGACCTCCAAGCCCAGATATACTAGTTGGGAAGACCTTCGTGTATACTGAAACGACAGCCAGTGATATATGTACAAGTATACATTTTCTGTAGTTTAATGAGTTGTATCAAACTATTTACAGATAGAAAATGAAATCCGGTCTTATGACCTTTATCAAAGGTAATTTCTCACTTCATCACCCATGCTTCTTGGATAAATGCAGCAACAGCATCGAGTCCTTCAAGCTCTTAGGACTTTATCACCCAGCTGGATTTCCTCTTGACATCAAATACCAAGAACACTTGTGCCTTTAAAAAATTACCCTCTCTTGAGCATGAATTATGAAACCCAAAATATTAACAGTGCGTAAGTTCCAAACAACAAACAAGGATATCTCAACTTCAGAATTCCACTCCATAAATAAGCTTTCTAAATGACGAAGAAGTGCCCAGGACTACCCTAAACCTCGCAAAGGGGCATTTAGATGAATGTAGGGCAACCCTCGCCCTACATTTCACCGTCAGGCATCTGCAGGTTGCATATATTTAGGACCTTCTGGCACATTTCTGGTGAAAGTTCCTTCAGAAGATCTGAAACAGCTAATTTGTGCTTTCTCTTTAGTTCATCTAGCTCCATTTTTTGTTTAACCAACAAATTCTCCAGATTTGTTGCAATTTGATTTATGTATTCTGTTTCAGTATCTTCCAAACTTTCAGATAATTCTTTCTCGGAAGATTTTTCACCAGATGCTCCTGATGTAATACTTCTCTCACTAGAAGGGGAATCAGCAGTTTCATTACATTCCTTCTCAGCACTACAATCATCAGCTGAAATATCACCATTTGTACCCGGGCTGCTGCCTTTGTCAGCATTTGCATCTACTTCATGAGACAAGAATGAAGCAATGTTTCGAGATGGAGAGTTTGCTCCAAGTGCCTTTGGTGAGTCTGACCAGTACTTACGACCTGAAGGTAATATTTCTAATGCAAGACTGCTAGGAGAAGCTGCGGAATCATGTGCCATAGGAGAGGCCAATGCTCTAGTTTCAGGGGTACAGCATGAATCTAGACAAAAACCGTCAACAGGAGTTTCACTGGCATTCCAACTAGGAATGTGATATTGAATTTCAGAATCAATCATACTAGCAATAGTTGTAACATCTTGATCAGTAAGTTCCAACTCCTCAACCATTTCACTAGCTACGGCGGTTGAAGTGTCTGCTTCAATATCAAAAGGAAAATGGATATTTCGAATATGACCTACACGGAAATGAACATCAGAACCAATGAAAAAGCAAAGAGACAGACAGTCTCTTTGGATAAAAAATAAAAAGCAAAAAGAAAGAAAATTGAGAGAGAAGACCTGAGGAATCTGCAATTCGCAATTTTAAAAATATTGTATTATTATCCCTCCTCTGACCTTCCACTGTGAACCTTGTCTCGGCTAAGTTATCCTCAGCATTTTCTCCAGTAACTTGATTATGCCAATTATTTCCTGCATTTGATACATCAGACGGTAAACAATATAAGATAGTTAATTGAGGAATTTAGATGCCAAGTATATTTACCTGAATGATGGGCATGGGATCTTAAAGATCGACCTACACTTTCATCATTATCTGACTGAAGGAAGGGATGCATCAAGAGGTCCTTCGCAGACAACCGTTCAGATACATGAGCAATACACTTTTCGATAAATGCTCTAACTTCAAGATCTGCAACTTTTGCCAATGAAGCTGGCCTTATTCCCTACCAGGAAAGGAAACAGCAATAATAAACATAAAGAACATAAAGGACAATAAGGACCCATTTGATTTTAGAAAATGTTTTCTGTTGTCACTAATAATTTAAAAAAAAAAAAAAAAAATTTGCTTAGTTTCCTAATTTGGAGAAGGGAAGATGAAAACAACTGGACATTTTTAAAATTATCTGTGAAAATGGAAAATAGAAGTGGTGGGAACTGTTCCCTTGAACGAAGCAAACCCCTAAATACCAGGTGTACCAATCAACCAAAGACTTCTGTCAGTTATTTGATTCTCTGCAATGCATATCAATAAGATCATGGAGGCAGACAAATATTTTTCAGCGTTGAGTTAAAAAATTTCCTGAACAATGCTCTTTTCCCAGAAGCTTCACAACTCTTAAAAGGATGTAATCCAACCACTTCTAAAGTCCACTTAAAAACTCTAGATCAGATCTCAAGCAATTTCATGAATAAGAAAAGCTAAAACCTTACATGATTCTTATTGAAGAGGATATGTTAAACATTATTCCCTAGATAGGTGTGATAGCAACACACTCCTAACGCACTTTCTACTATTGGTTAAATTTTATTGGAGACTACAAAACTGAGTGAGACTGTGAGACTCACAAAATTTTGTGATTTCTAATAAATTTTAGCTAATAGTAAAGCATGTTGCAAGCATTTTCATTCCCTGGAAGCCTGTTAAGATTCAGGTTCAGTAACTTGAGAAGAAGAAAAAGCACCAATTCAGATATTCTGGGATTCATTTTTTCGTTTTTAAGTCTGATCTTCGCAATTTCACCAGTTTTATCTTTTTACCCCTCCCATCCCATTCAAATTCTATGAAATTCCCACTACAATTAACATCTTCACAGACTCGTTAACCATCCCATACTTTTGACAAGCTGACAGGTGAAAACAAGCAATGGGGCTAATAAGAACTATAATTTGGACTGTATGATTGATTAATGATTAGTTCAAGAAGAATAGAAGATTCAAATCACAGAAATGTGATGATGTTACATCTTAGTTACAGTAGTAAGAGCAGAAGTGATCTTATGATCTTAACAAGTTGAAGCATACATTGTTGTATCATCCAAAGGGTTTGGCAAACACAACAGCCTATAAACATTTACAGAGCTTTCATAGCGCATTGAATACTATATCCATCAACATTGAGATGAAATGGATAATTCTAATAACTTTGTTTCATCACATGTTAAGCAAAATAGTCCCAACATTTTGAAAACAAAGCATTTAACTTACACACGTCACTTTCTTGTATATTTGAGCAGCATTGGTACATTCAACATAAGGGTACTCAACAGTTACCAATTCAAGCAAGCACATGCCAAAAGCATAGATGTCAACAAGTTCATTGTATTCCTCTTCATAAAGTTCTGGTGCCATGAACTCAGGGGTACCTAGGTTCATAATAAGAATTACAGGCGCTTTCAGTAACAAGATTCCCACAGTAATCCACATAAGAAAAGGATAATAAATATAACAATTTCACAGGAAATGTTACCAATGACACTGTGAGCTGAATTTGCCTGTTGAAGGATTGCCGCCAATCCTAAATCACCAATTTTCACCTCCCCTTGATTCCCATTGACAAAAATGTTGTCACACTTGAGGTCCCGGTGAATAACAGGTGGATTATGACTATGAAGATAAAAAAGGCCTTCCAAAATCTGCCTAGACCATTTCTTCAAAGCTCTCAAATCAACATGCTTATGTTTCTTCCGGTATCTAAATTAAGAAACTAAAACTTAAACACAAAAACCCACCAAATTTGCAAATAAAACCGAACACCTAGGCAAAAGAGACTCACTGGCGCAACGTTCCTGAGGTGAAAATTTCGGTAATGAAGTTGATGTTCTCATTACTGGCATCAACCCATGAATTGTAAAACTTAATTATATTCTTATGCTTCAAAGTCTTGAGCAAATGAACCTCTGAATAAAGTCGCTCCAAATCTTCAGAGTTACGCAACAGATCCGCCACCTTAATCTGATTCCAAGCCACTTCAATCCCTTCCAACTCATCAAACCCTCGATATCTACATTGCCATGTTAAGGAGCAAAAAAAAAAAAATCCCCCAAAACGAATCCGTTACCTATACATATTAGCTGGCCAGCATAAAGCGTAAGAATGTAAGATCGTTAAAGCTTAAGCTTTAGACATAACAACAACAAAAAATTATTTATTACTATTCTTTATAAAAAAATATATATTTATCGACTAAGCGTTTTACAATAAAAAGGATACACTTTCTTGAAAGCCCCTTTCCCTAAAACTTCCTTGTACTGCAGAATCCAGCAAACAAAATCAGATAAACCGAACCGATTTACAATACATTGCAAAAACCAATCAACAATTAATAAAATTAAGCAACGAGGTAAAGAAAAGGGCGTAACGGAACGCATGAAGAATCGACATTGAGCGTTTAATTTGAAAGCTGAAACGCTGAACAACAATAATTGAAGAGAAGGACACAAAACTAACCCGACCATAGCGACCGGTTGGATCAACCTCGACGAACTCGATGTCGGGATCGTCGAGGTCCGGCTCGGAGGAATCCTGCGGCATTGTAGGAAACCCTAGCTAGGAAGAACGAAATGGTGGATTAGGAAGAGAAAAAAGGAATGAAAATTATTGATATAGCAATTGGGAAGAAAAGGATGAAAGAACGTTGCAGCAGTACCAAGGGGGTTGTCCTTCCTGGCAGGGTCAAGGGTCAATGCTTGAATTCAAATGGTTTCCATTAAAACGGTGGGTTTTGGTTGTCGCTTTGATTTCTTAGGATTTTCTTATTGTTCAACGAGGAGCTGTGTAGGCGCCACGAGACGCAACTAACGTGTTATTATTATCCTAGGCCAAGCAAGTCAAATACTATCTTTTATGGCGTCCAAGACAAGTTAGTTGGCTACTCTATTTTTTTTTTTTGTTATTGGTGGGTTTGGACTTGCCTACATTCCTTTTCTTTGGACTTTCTTGACCAAAATGACTCAGCCCATTGGAAATAAATTATATTAAAAATACATTTATATGTTATAGATAATATTTTATTTTTGTTGTGTTTGAACATGTTTCATGCAATATTTCAAAATTGATAGTTAATAACTAAAGTTTGTATATCTTTTGTTATGATGCAAATAAAATCTTACATCATTCAAATATGAGGATAGACATAAGTTTATATATTACAATTGTCTCCATTAATTAAGAGGCTTTTTAGGTGGTATCTAAAAACAAAATCGTGAAGGATATGTCCAAAGTGAACAATATCTTATCAATGTGGAGACATGTGTATCTTATCCTTTGTTTAGATGTGTATAGCCCCCGGTGCACAATATCTTCCTCTACTTATTTTACTCTTAATAATTCTATATGAACTTAAATACCCACACATATAATTCTAATAGAGTATTTTTATTTCTACTAGTAATTTATAAAACTCATACATTTATCGTGTGTAATAAACGTAGAGCTAATGTCAAAAGTTTGATCATAAAACATATTAGATTAAAGAACTTATCTTGATAAGTTATATTGAAATAAGCTTTAAAAAAAAAACCTTATGAGAATCATGAGTCGTTTTTATAAATTCAAATAAGGTTTCTGTAAGCTTTTCTAAATGTTCGCTCAAATTACCTTTTGGTTAGGTTGGATTATGGACTTGGGACTTGGCATACACGCTCACAATATCTTATTTTAAGTGTGTACATATACAAGTGGTTATGAGTATACCTGACCCACTTAAACCCAATATGACCCAAGAAAAAAAAAATAATGTGTTGAGTTTATGATTTTTGATCAAGTTTAATTTGTACTAACCCGGTTGATTAGGTTGGTTGGGTACACATGCTTGACTCAACATAATTGTATTAAAAAAAAAGTGTAATATTTACTACAAAAATAAAATGAAAATAGCACATATGCTTTGTAGAATAATTCTTACTTTTCAAATAGAATATAAACTTTCTCTCAAAATTTTTAATTTATATATTTATTATTATTATTATTATTATTGGTAAACTTGATTCAACTAACTTGACTTAACCTTAAAAAAATCTTTTGGGTTAAGTTGGCTTCACAATTTTTTTATATCAAATTGAATATATATTAACCCAATTGAATTAGTTAGGATCATATTTAACAAGTGCATATTCAACTCAACCTTCAATATATTTTGCATCCCATAAATACAGTGTTTTTCTGTTTTTGAGCTTTTAATCTGTGAAATTTTCATCGTCACTTGTTTTTCTTGGTCTTTGTCATGACAATAAATACTAAAAATAGAAATTGTTATTTTCTGTAGGAACGTAAAACCATAAACTAAAAATAAAATCCACTATTTCACAATTAGTAAAAACCAAAAATGGTATACTTTGAAACAATAATCCTAATATATTAGATTCTTAACTAACTAGTCAAATTGAATTATTTTCCTTCATAAAAATTAGTAATTCGCGTTATATATGTGTAAACAAAAATTTAGGAGCGTAAAGAGGAAAAATGTTCGAATAAAAATGTATGACTCTCCAAAATCTGGTTGGACCTTATTATATATTAACGTGTTTCAAGTGTTTAATATCTCGTGGAGCTAAAGGATTTTTTGTGTGTGTGTGTGTGTGTTACATGTCCAACTTTATGTGGGTTTTGCAATTCACTTACGGAAAATGAATGACACATTTTTAAGTTGTGAACACGCAAAAAAATATGTGAGTTTCTTCTTAAATGTGACATTTAATTTGTGACCATGTAGAAGTGTGGAGGGTGTTTCAGAGCTTCTACTTTCTTTGTTTGAAGTAATTTGGCCATTATTCTTTGGGCAATTTGGAGGAGTAAAAATGACTTGGTTGATCAAATGTGTTTGATAATTCAGCTTTACAATGTACAACAAGAAGAAATTTCAGCCATGTTAATCAAGAGACACCTTGTCCTTTACACCAATGGATGATATATGGCACCTCCAACAGGCCTACTTAAATGTAATGGTGATGCAACAATATTTAAAGAAAATAATTTATTTAGAGCTGGTATGATAATTCATAATGAGCATGTACACTTTCTCAAAGTAAAAACCGTTCTTATGAGTGATATTTGAGATCCGATTGAGGCTGAGGCATGGGGTCTTCTCTGAGTATTGCATTGGTTAGTAGAACTTGTGATTCAGAGTGTTGTCATCGAGGTGGATTAGAAAGCTATAGTGAATGGTATCTTAAGATCTTCACTTAGTTGTTTAAATTTGCATGTCCTTTTATTTAATGTAGAGCATGTCTTTCCTTTTTTCTCAAACTCTTTGGTGAGTGTAAAGGAATTTTGAAGCCTTAATATTATATAAATTATCAATTTTGACATTAATTTTCTTACTCTTTGAGGTGGAAAATCATTTATATATCACATTTTTATATTCAAGCAATTTTAATATTTCACCTTCGATATATATAAGACAGATAATTTATTTAATTTATCTTATAACAATGTTGATATTAGAAAAAATTAAAATAATTAATTTTAATTTTAAAAAACTCATTTCACTAATAATAATTGTAATATATACTATCAATAATATTCTATAAGAAATACATACATTTGAAAAATAATATAATGTTTAAATATAATTTAATACTTCTATTAGAGTCTTTTAACACTTATCTCAATACATTTAATTATGAAAATAAATCAAGATGATTATTATTTAGATGTGATTGTTCTACCACTTGTTCAGTAATTGAACTTATTTTTTTTAATGAATGATAATTAACAATGGTTGAGATTGAATTTATTTTTAAACCTTTTTTCTTTATTTTTTTTTAAAATACATTCATATTTTCTATTACTACAAAATTACAAGAAAAAAAAAGATATATTAGTAAACTATAATTTTTCAAATAAATAAAAAAATGAACCGATATAACCTGAATATGGAAAAAATTGCACGTTGATATTGTCTAGTAGTACTACTGCATATGTAACAATTTGATATCTGTTCTTACCGGAAATCTGCTGTAGAGCTGATCCGCCAGGTAAGATCGGTGAGCCTCCTTCACTAGTACGCTTGATGCTCCAATATGGGGTGGTACCTGCAAAAGAGACTCTGATGCTAAAGTTAGGGTTTGTATGAGTATGAGTCTCGTATATGTAATGCACGTACCTTAGTGTGAATTAGGGTTGTTTTGGGCCTTGGGCCTGAGATAAAATATGATTAGATAACGGATCTCGTCTGGCGCGAGATCCCCTGAGATCAGTTATGATCTACTTAAATGCCGAGCTGACGTCGTGTGGCGCGTGCCCGAGGTCATCATGCGCTGTGGTGCCGAGCTCGGAGCTCGGTTTCGCAGTACGGATAGTACACTAGCCCCCCGAGCTCCGAAGACCGTAGGTTGAGGAGTTAAGACCAAGCTCGAAAAGGGGTCGTGACTTTTCGCGTACACCTATTTGTCATGATGCCATGTGTCATAATCGTTACCTCGTTCCCATAACGCGTGGGCGGCACGGTGACAAGATTGTATTTTTATTTGTTTGATGACGTGGCCTCTTTGGGTCGATGTGGTGTTCCGATGTCCATGTTTCATGGTCGGGCTGAGGAGCTCGGCAATAATGAGCTTACTGCTTGGTTAGGCTGGTAAACCTTTGACCGAGTCAGTAGATTGGTGAGGGACAAGTCGGCAACTCGGCTGGCCAGTACACTTGCCCCCCAAGCACCGAGTGATGTAAGAGCAAAGGGACTTCTGAGGAATTTCCAAATTTGTTGTTTGAAGGTTCAAATTCGACCTTGTTAAGTAGATGTGATCTCAAGGTTC